TGTGGCTGGGCTTCTGCTCCCCCAAAATGCTTCCCTACTCCCTCTGGGCTCAAACCCCGCTGGCAAAGCACCCACGGGCTCCTGAGCTCTCCCTCTCTCTCCTCTCCGCAGCTGGTGAAGTACTGGGAAGCGTTCCTACCTGAAGCCAAGGCCATTTCTTAATCGGACCGAGCAAATGAGTGTACCTGAACTTTGCCTTTTTGGGGTTTTTTTTGTTTTTTGTACACTATACCTCTTCCTCTTCTACACCTGAGCAGTTCAACACTCTGGAGCTGGTAGAGGTTTAACCCCCCCCAGACAAGCAGCTTGCAAGCCAGTAACTCTTCTAACTGTATATTTTTCATTTAGCCACATATATTTTCTTACTGAAGAGAAACTAGTTTCCTGCTTTAAGACCGGACCTGCAGCCGGGGGTTAATGATATCTGTGAAATGTATATTTTTCAGGCTGGGTTTTAGGGCTCTACTATCTTATTCCTGCAGTGCCATTAAAATTCTGTAATAAAACTTCTATCAGGGCAAACAGGCTCTGGCTGTTGGTGGGCTGGGGCAGCAGATACCGTGGGAGACAGTGGAGCCTCCTGCCTTGTTGTGACGGGGATGGGGGTGACCTTGGACACTGCCCCAGCCACCTGGCCTGGCTCCTGATTAAGCTCTGGCTCTCTGCCCCGCTGCCAGCACCAGCTGGGGGTGGCTGTTTTTAGGATCTGAGCTCAGCTGGGGCTGGCCTGGGGGTTGAGGGCGGGGAACTGGCCCCCAGTAAGCCAGCGTGGAGCCTTTGAGGGCTGCGATGCTCCTTTCCCCCACGGCCTGGGGCAGTTCTTGCTCCTTCAGACCCTCCCAGGACCCCAGCTGAGGATTTCATCAAAACCGCTCCCCCCTTCTTCTGCCTTAAAAAAAGGAAAAGGCAGCGGGTGCTGACTTCCCCCTTTCCTTTCCCCTCGTCCCAGGCGAGCGGGAGCCCTGCGGTGGCTCCGGAACCCTGTGGTGCCTGTGGGTCCCTTCCTTGGGGTGCTCTGGGCTGCTTTTGGGGTCCCCTCTGTCAGCCCCCCAGGCGATGATCGCTGTCTCCATCCCGACGGCAGGGTCCCAGGCGGCGGCAAGGAGCCCTGACAAAGCGCATACGGTGAGGGGCTGCAAGGGGGTGGGAGTTGGGGCGTGGGGTCCCCAGGGGTGTTTGTGCATGCCCTGGGGCTTGGAGGTCCCTGCCTGTCCCCAGGGGTCCCTACCGCTGGTGGTGGTGGGGCTTTGAAAGGGTTCCTGGTCTGGGGGTCCCCTCTGACACCTGTGGGTGGGGAGGTCCCTGTCTACCCCAGGGTGTCCCCACCTGCCCTGGGGGGTGGAGGTCCCCAAGTTCCGCCAGAGGTCCCTGTCTGCCCCAGGGTGTGTGTCTGTGTGTATCTGTGTCCATGTCCGTCCGTGTGTCTCCCTCTGCCCTGGGGGTTGGGGGTGCCTGAGTGGCCCCAGGTGTGTCCCCCACCGCCCCAGGGGTCAGAGGGCTCTGCCTGCCCTGGGTCCCTCCTGGAGGGGTAACCTTTGCCCTTGACAGAGGCGGTGCCCCTGTCCCGGGGGTATCCGCATGCCCCAGGGGTGGAGGCCTGTCCCCAGGGGTCCCTGCCTGCCCTTGGCACTGGGGGGCTCTGCCTCCCCCCCTCCACTGTCTCGAGGGGGGTCCCCTCTGCCCCAAGGGAGGGGAGGGGAGAAGGTCCCCATCTGCCACAGGGGCTGGAGGCCCCAAAGTCAACCCCCAGCAGGTCCCTGCGTGCCCCAGGAGCAGAGGTCCATGATTGACCCCCAGGGAATCGCTGAGGGGGGAGCCACTCTATCCTCCTACCCTTGGGGGGGGGGGGGGGG